CCCCCAAAACAGCTTTCAAGCACCCCCCATTCTCACCAACTACCCAAGGAGTCAAGAAAATGCCACGAGACGACTGGATCCGCATCGACAGCGGCTACCTCGACCGCATCCAGCAGCGCCGCACAATCATGCGCGAGCACGCCGCCGACGCCCTCGGCACCAGCCCCGTCGCTAACCCGGCCATCGCGGAGCTCTACACAGAGGTCATGGCAAAGCACCTCCCGCAGCGGTTCCCGACCATGTTCCGCATCATCGTCGTCGAGGAGGAGGAGGAGGGAGGATCATCAGGATCCTCCAAGAAAAGGAGGCGGCAACTGCTGCTCAACCTGGCGACGGGGACGTCGCACTCGCTCGACGCGGCGGAGCTCACGCACGCGGAGATGCTGCGGAACCTGGGCGAGAGCGTCGAGGAGGACTTTTACATCATGTGTCCGGACGAGCAAGGGGAGATTCGGCTGCAAGGGTACGTCGCCTGCTTTCCCGGCGGGTTCCTGAGCTTTGCGAGGGTCGGCATGTCCATGAGGGAGATCCATCGGCCGGTGCCTGGGTACACGGAGAGGATTGCCAAGGGCGCGGACCGGCACTTGGAGCGGCTCTCGCCGGGGAAATACATTGGACGCATGAATGTGAGTTCAAGCTGCAATGCTCTCTTCGTCTATGCTCTACACAGTTTTTCTTTTTTGCCTTGTTATGCTATAATGGCACAATGAACTAACTGGCATCTTCTCCAGTGGAGTCTCCAAATCGACGGCCCAGAACTCTTCCGTCTCGACGGGGCAAACAACTTTTACCCTGAAAAGGGCGACGCCCTTCCCGAAGATGAAGACGCCGTCGATATATCCACGTCGTACCTCAGGGTGGAGCATCAGACGCTGAATCGCCTGCCCAAGACCAAAGCCGTCATCTTCTGCGTGCGGTCATATCTGACATCTCTGGAGGACATCAAGAGGGAGGGAAACGGGCCTTTGCTCCTGGAAGCTATTCAGAGCATGCCCGAGAAGCTGGGGAATTACAAGAAGCGCCCGTTTTGGCGCCGGGCTGTGTATGACTATCTTGGCTCGTAGATGCGTCTTTTGGGTTGGGCTCGGTTCCTTATCCGAGACTGCTCTGCATCTGGACTGTACGTCTTACATCTTGGCAAGGACTAGACCTCTGCGATGAGAATGCGGTAGGAACCCCATTGGACGCTTCAGCGGGCCGATGCCTCACGTCAACTGATGGCCGTCTTGGCCATGACCATGGGTCCCCGTTTCCCGCATCAGCATCAGCTGGGGAGAATGGGTTCCATCATGATGGCCTCGTACTCGTATGGAGCCGTAGATACTACTAGAACCGTCGGTATCTGGGCGCCGTGTCAGCGATATCACAGCTCAGGTGGCTCCAACATGCCATTGCCACCTCTCCACTGCCAAACTGCCTCCCTGCAGCGACTTCGGAAAGGTGACGATGACAGAACCGCAAAGAAAAGACTACCGTTCAACCAAACGTGTCCTTATCCTCCTGTCCAGAACGTGGCCATGGCCGAGGATGACTCCTAAGCAGCCAGGGACCCAGTGGGGTCTCGACTAGTGAGCTCCAGCTTGTTGTTTGGCCCATGTCTTGCATTTCAATCGCCAATGTCGCCATCCGGACCCGGAAGCACTGACACTCGGAGGGGCTGCGACTATTTGCCACGGCGAGGCCGGCGCTCCGTCCAGAATGTCGAGATGGTGGCAGACGATGAGGAAATCCCCGCCGAGATCGAGAGACATGCCGGAGGCCGGCTGCCGATGCCGTGATGACTCTTGCAGAGACGCTCCATAGGAAATGGTGAGAATGCAAGCTGATAGTCATACTGTGCCGCACTCCGTATTCCGGAGCAGTTTGCCACTATCAATCACCGGAGCATTTTTGATAATGGACTCTGCATGCGAACCCAAGAGAAGTACACCGTACCCCGCCCTGCTGCGAATGTCTCACCGGCCACACCGTACCCAGGTACTGTACCGAGCACACAGAAGCAATCCACTCCAGAGCGTCACTAAAGTCTGGGGTAAACGGGGCCAGCTACAGCTAGGTAGGGGTCCAGAACAGGGCCAAAGCAAGTGCCGCAAGCGGGCGGTGCATGTAGGTACTCGTACGTACAGTACGAATTGCAGTAGCGCATCGGCCGAGGTGGACAAAAGTCAATTGGCCGCAATTGGAACGAGTTGGAAGAGGCACGAAAGGGACGGAACACGAACACAGCAATTGGACACGAGAAACGGAGAGAAAAGGAGAGAAATGGCAATGGAGCCGCAAAATCGATGGGGACGGCAAAATCCCACCAAAAATAGGAGGAGAGCTCCATTCACCTCAGTGGTGCCTGGGAGGTACACAATAGCCGTTTATCGCGGCGTGCACAGTATGGAGTGCGGAATGACATGTTGCGTCAGGTCACGCGATAGATGATGCTATTGAGCCACCACCCGACGATTCTGGGCAAGCACGCACGGAGTCGATCCAGAACCAGCAGTACATGGGCGGTACCTGGGTTTTGCAGGTCTATTCACGTCATTTGCTGGTACCGCGACCGTCCGGCGATTGATGCCAACTGCCCGGAACGTCGAGCTCAACTGCTGCTTCCGCTGGTTGCAACTGCCCTGAACGTCCCCCGATTCCTCCCAGTTCTTCCCCAATTCTCCGTAGGGGTACGAGTCATACAGTGCGACTACGAGTGATTACGTTGCGTACCTCAACTTCCATGCTCAATTGCACGCCCCTCAGAGCAGAGCAGATCAGATGAGAGCCACACAGAACAGCAGACGGACGGACCACAATTGGCTTCTCCAATTTCGAGTCAATCAATGCAGCAGATTCCCGCCCAAAGTCACTCCAGCCTCCAGCCCTTGCTTCACCGTTGGGCGCTCCTTCTGGTGATTGGCCCGTCCTGCTTCCTGCGTCTTGCGTCTGTTGGCGCCACCCCCAAGAAGCTTCTCGCGTGACTCCTGGTGACACGAGTACAATGCTACAAAAGCCCAAAGGGCCCAGCATGTCTGTTGCTCTGCTCTCGACCTTTCTCCGCGTCTCATCCTTATAAGCAATCAATCATCCTTCGTCTCTGAATCACTTCACACACAAGAACAAGAACAAACCCGATAACACACACACACACTCACACTCACATCATCTCGTCGACTCAATTCACCTCTTCCATCTTCTGACAAGCCAGCCCGGACACACGCAACACCCCTTCCGGCAACGCCTCCTCACCCTTACTCCAACTCTGCCTCCTCGACACAACAGACCGTCTCCCTCCGGCCAATTCATCTTCCCCCGCTCGACCTCCGTCTTACCCCTTCTGCGCCTAGCCCTCGTTTTGTCGCCTCTCGCCATCCATCCGTCAAAAGTAAGTTTGTCCAGCTGCAGTTACGCACCCCCGCATCTGTATCACTCTTCGCTCTTGCGTGTTGCATTGGCACTGTCTCTGGCTTGCCATCATCCTCTTCGCCCCTCTCACACCCAGCACGGCCATATACGTCTACACTACACACTACAACAAGCAACACCAGAGGTCAACTATCAGGACCTCTTCCATCAGAACTCAATCCCAAAGAGTCAGCGCAGAGCCCATGCCCATGCCCATTGATGCCCATGATGCTCATGATGATCCTGATGATCCTGATGAACTAACACCGTGATTCTCAGTGACTCGTTCTCACAAGTACAACGACCGTGACCACAAGGGCATTGCCGACGGCAGCGTCTCTCCAACAGATAACTTGCCGCGCTTCTTTGCCAAGAACGGCTTCGTGGACACGGATCCCAAGAAGATCAAGAAGGACGGCTCTGGTAAGGGCAACTGGTATGTCTTGAACTCTACCCTCCCTCACCATACCTCTAGGTTTTCTAACACAAACCTCACAGGGGAACCGCCGGCGAGGAAGTCGTGGATGAAGGCTTCCGCTTCACCAATGCCCGTCGCCGCTCCAACAGCTTTTCCCACCACAACCTTTCCGACTTCAAGACCAAGTTTGAGGTGAACGAGCCTGACCCTCTCTTTGAAGAGTCCGTCCACGGACCTATGGATGAGGACAACGGCGATGACCTCTCCAAGACGGACTCCGCCGAGAGTGTTCACTCCGTCTAGACGAGACAAGCTGTCTCGCGCCCAGAGACGCTGCCATCCGTCCTGCCATATCCTGGATCTGTCTTGAAGCCTCCCACTATTACATGATGATTCATATTTACTTTAGCTCTGGGGGACCTTTTTCTTTTAATTTCCTTTTCCTCATTAGGAAGGACTGGAAGTGGGACTTGGCATCCAGGAACTGGACATGACGGCACTCATCTGCGGCCAAAGTTATGATACATGCCCGCCGTGACGTTGCTTTGCCGGCGAAGGACATGTATTATTGTACGATATGACATTGCTCTTTTCTTTTACTACCACATGAAGGCTCGGTCTCTCAGATAGATCCAATCAAAGCCGTGTAACATTTTACGAGGACTTCAAGTTGTGCTCTTTCGTGATGATTTGTAGCTCTGCTTGCACAGATACAGTGTGTCGATGATGTGCTTCCCCCCAACCTCTCGCCCTCAACAGTTTCATACGGATAGCTAGGAGATGATCTTGCGAGTCATTTACCAATGCTCACTCGGTCTTCTCAGGCGGGACACGCAAGGTCTTACCTGAACGAGCCGAGACTGTGCCTCGACCGTGCCAGAACAGAACAGACCGTGTCGGTGGTGGCCGATAACGACAGCGTACCCCGCTCTGGGTAAATGCGAGGTTCGAATAGCCCACGAAGGGGCTGCAGATCTATGGGTGAATGAGGGAATGTATCGGCAGCTCAATACTACAGTATGCTCTCCTTCGTATGTACTTGTGGTTAATAGTCTAGATAGCAATGGGCTCCGGGAAGAGCTCTGACGTCTGGCGGCTGGGGGGAGATATGATGCCATCCAAAATACTGTACTGTACTGCAGACCACTCAGGCGGCCCTTTTCGTCACCAATTGCTTCCGTTCCTTCAATGCGTCAACGCTTATATAAAAGTTCAAACAAAGGTTTGTCGTGGCGTTGATTCACGGAAAGCCTTCCATGCAGTGACTCTACTATCGATACCGCTCGTCCTCCCTCATCGAGAAACCCCATCAAGTTTCCATGCCATCTTCCACTTCCATGTGTGTCTCCGCAACCCCCGGAATTTGGACAGCTCCCGAGTTCTCTCTTCGGCCCCCCAATTTTAAGTGGTACCTGGCCCGTGCGTCGGCAGCACAGACCAAGGAATTCCAGTGTGGTCAAAGGCTACCTGCCGGAAAAATGAACGCTAGACCGCTTTCTCTGTTGGCTTGGAATTGTAGGTTATGTATGTAGCTGATTAGATAAGCCAGCCAGATGGGCAATGGGCTTGTTCAGCCTTGCGTTGCGCTTGTTGGGTGGGAAAACACGTGCTGGTCGTCAGTGGTTTGGCGCAAGCGCTGAGAATTGCTGCTTTTTCTTAGCAATCCATCTTTTGTCTTTCAATATAACCGAAAGCTTGACTGAAGGAACCAACTCATCGCTTTTGAATCCACGCGAAATTTTCAAAAGCGACAAAGTCCATCGCTTGATTTCAAAGCTCGTTGATAAATTTCTTCGCTTTCTGGGCTCGCGGTAGCCATTCAGGAAGACGCAACAAGAGAAAAGCGCGACAATCGCGAAGTACGACTTCTTTCAGCCTTGCGACACTCAACGAACGAGCCAACTCCGAACCCCAGCCAGGTCAACTTCGCCCATCCAGTTGTAAATTCTTCTTCAACAAATAATTACGCTCTTCTACGACAAATACAACCAAGTCGAGAGAAAAAGAAAAAGAAAAAAGAGTCGCACACAATGGCCGTCGCTCCAGCCTACCACGAATCCCTTCCATGTACGTTTCAAACCTCGACATCAACCCAAGAGGCCTTCCATCAACAGCCCGTAGCAAAGTTAATCGCTAACACAATCACTCCAACCCCAACAGACATCGATCCCGAACCCACCCCAGAAGCCCTCGCCGCCGCCCGCGCCCTCATCGCCTCCGAACAATCCTCCTCCTCCCCATCATCCTCCTCGCAACAACAACAACTCCCACCCCTCCAAGAACCCTCCTTCTCGCCCGCCATAGCCGCCCAACTCTCCCGCATATCCTCCTCCCAGCCCCCCCCACCCCTCGACCTCTCCCGCTACGAAGCCCAGGAACTCCCCGAACCCTCATCCTCCTCATCCGACTCTTCAGACAAGACCGCCCACCACGAGGCCACGCGCCGAGCCCTCCAAAACGCCTTCGTGTCCGCCTCCTACCTCGCCTCCCGCGCCCAGAACCTCGCCCTGCTCGACGCCCACGGCCGCAACGCGTGGCTCCTCGCAAACTACCACCTCGAGGCCGAGCTCCGCTCCCTCGAGCGCGACCTCGCCGCCACGAAGCGCGACATTGACCTCGTCAACGCCGCCCGCGCCGCCCGCCAGACCGACGTAAAGGCCGAGATGCAGACGCTGGAGCAGAATTGGCGAGAGGGCGTCGGGAGGGTCCTCGAGACGGAAATCGCCGTCCAGGAGCTCAGGGAACAGATCCGGCACGAGTTGAGGAGCAGGGCCGCCGCCGCCGAGCAGCCTTCTCAGTCATGACGACAAGAATCTACCATCGTTTTCTTTCCTCTCTCTCTTTTCAACGTTTTAATAGAGCGGATTTCAGCCTACAAATCTCCGCCACCTATCCCACTTATTTCAATTATCCCTACATAGATTTCTTCAAGGCTAGGTCGACAGATGACGGGGATTCATGGACTACAGCTACAAGACACGGGCACTGCTGGCGTAACAGTTTCGATTAGTTATAACTGTGATAAATCATCGCACAGCCGACAGCCTCAATATAAAGTATGATATACTCTTTTCCTGCTATGAATAAAGAAAGTAGGTGCAGAGGGGAATTACGGCGGTATCAAACAACCAATCACCCCGGATCCTCCCTTAAGAGATATTAGTTGCATTGATAACGGTATCAATCAAGGTATCTGCTCAACTAGACATGTCTCAAAGGGAGTAAAGAGCGAGGGTGAGATGTAGGAGTAAAAGGAAAAAGCAAGAGAGAAAACACATAGAGTATCCCGAAAACGCCGGTAAGCCGTGCCCGTTACATAGGGCCTCCGATAGAGCGAGTAGTCGTTTGCACGATATCGCAATCGGCCAATGTAAAAATGCAACCCTTTGCCAATGCCCCAGCCCGCTCCCGTCACCTCCGTAGAACCGATCTGTAGAGCCCATCTATGGTCGGTAGCCTTTTCATGTCCAAAAAATCCTGCCTCTTTAAAACTGCCAGCGTCATCACCACCCCCTAAACTTATTCCGTGCAGACATTATACACCTTGTAAAACGACACAAAACGTACGCATAATTGTGCTACGTTTGTCCGTTGGGCAGCTTACTCCTGCTGCAGGGGGTCCATCTCCTCGACACCCGTCTTGACTCCTTGGTATCTTGTCCTCCGCAGGAGACCTTCGACGGGGCCGAGGAGTCGTTGGAATGCGTTCTTGCCCAGCGTAGCCACCTTGACGTCCGTAATAGCCACGACACTAGCGGCTCGCGGAGCATCATTGAGCAGTGCCAGTTCGCCAAAGAAGTCACCCTTGTTGTAGGACAGCACCTTTTCATCTCCCTTGTAGGCAGCTGCCTCGCCACTCTCGAGAAGGTAGAAGGAGTGGCCAGGATCGCCCTCGTGGATGATGGTGTCGCCGGGCGCGAACTTCTGTGTCTCGAGGGCATCGGCAATCTTGGATCGTTCGTAGGGGGTGAGCGAAGAGAGAATGGGCACTTCCTCCAAGAAGCTCTCGTACATGCGCCGCCGGGCAAACGTCGACTCCATCAGGATGCGACGGAATGTCACTCGGTCCAAGGCCCACAGTGTGCAGCTTCCTTCGGCAGAGATGATGGTTGCCGCACGGGGCGCATTGTACATGAGAGCGAGCTCACCAAAGGAGCCGCCAGCCTGAATGTTGCCAACCTTGCTGCCCAGTCCGTCCGGTCCAGGCTCGATGAAGCCACAAGGGTTGACATAGACGTCGAACGAGCCTCGCTCAACCACGTAGAAGTAGTCGCCAGCGTCTCCTTGGCTAATGACCTGTTTGTTTCGCTGTCAGCGACCGAAAATGTTGCGGGCGGTTTCATGGAAGATGCGTCCTTTATTTAATCTGGGGGGGCGGGAAGTGCTCTTACCTTGATGCCCCTGGCAGGAATCGGCTTCTCGACGAGGGCGCCCAGAATTTGTGCGCTCTGCTCATCGTCCAAGTGGTTGAAGAGGAAATTTCCCTCAATGGCATGCTTGAGCCGCTCAATCTGCTCGGGCGTCTTTTCGGTAAAGGGAGGGGTCCAGTTGTCATAGCTGTCAGCGCTCGGCTTCAGAGACTCTGCTGAAACGGACGTCCGACGTCCAAAGTTGTACTGTGCCGGATAGCTGTCATTGCTAGGGGGGGCTCTCATGGTGGGTGGAGCCTCGGTAGATGCGTCGCCGCCAAAGGCTCCTGAGAATAAGGGGCCACCGGGGGCCAAGTGATCGTTGTCATTGTCGTTTTCTTCCTCCTCCACGACGCTGTGCATCACACTGGAGGCCATGGGCGAGGTGCTCCCGCCAAAAGGGTTGCTATTTGCCCCAAATGGGCTCGAGAATTGACTAGACATCATGGCAAAGTGGCTAGTGGGCGAGGGGGAGAATCGTGGCGAGGGGGTACCTCGGTCGCGGAAGATGGAGAGGCTCGCCGCTCGTTCGGATGCTAGTCGCGCGTTGAAGAAGTCGGCGCAGAACTGGAGGATATCGGACGGACAGGTCTGCAGAACCTGCCGATTGAGAGCTTGAATCTCATGTTGGTAAGCTTCTGGCAGAGACATGACCAGTGAAGGTTGTGTGTGAACGCTTTGAGTGCTTTTGTGTGCTATGAGTGCTTGGTGATGGCTGAGATCAAACAGGTAAATGACGTAAAACTCGAACAAGAAGAAGCAACTCGGAGAAGGAGCGTAGACGAAAGGTAAAGACCGGAGTGAGAGTTGGACCTACAGCTTGCGCGGGAGCGGGTCTGGGAGGCAGAGCCGTTTTGTATGCGCGCAGCTGCGCGACGAGAATTAGCAGCACGCTACCAGGCGGCCGGGGGTGAGAACCGGGTGGCCCGCCATCGCAGACAAGACTGACGGGAAATTCAAACGGAGGGGCCAATCGACAAGGGGCATCAGTCGTGGGCATTTTGGCACGCCCCCCAGGCCTGGCCTTGACGGCGTCGTACCGGGGAGGCCGAGATGCGAACGACTAGAAGGAAGGGCAGGACAAGGACAAGGGCTGCCTGGCACCCGATCGGGCGGCATGGCGATGGGCTGGGACGGGCATGACCAGAGCGAAAATGAAAGGCAAAGGACGATGGTGGGCAAACCGACCAGGCTGGGGGTTGCAGAGACGGCGGCAAACGAGGCACAAACGCAGCGCCTTTGTTCTGCAACAGGCCCAAGGAGCACGGTAAGGGGGGGAAGGGCAGAAGTGGCGGCCAAAACGTCACCAGCGCGCTACCTCTCCAGCCGAGGACAAACACCCCCCAGTCTGGCGCAGAAAAAAAGGGAAAGGATGCACACAGAAGCGCAATCGTAGACAAGGAAAAGCTGGGACCTACCGGCAGTTTAGCGGTGCAGCAGCTGGATGCGGGACGCTGCGGGCAGAGCTCGACGAGATTAGATGAGGGAGATGAAAGAGCAGAGAGGCGATAGCGCGAAAAGGCACGCAGGAAGACGAGGGGACGGAGGAGGGGTCGTGCGACAGGACAGCACAGGACCCAGAAAGGCGCCCGTTTGGATCGACCGAAAAGACGGGCAAACGAAAAGGCACGACAAAGAGGGGCCGAGCCTAGAAGGGCGAAGCGGAAGGACGGGCGTGGGGAAGGTAGAAAAGGGAAGGGAGAAAAAGATGACGAGCCAGAAGGTGAAGGTCTGTGGTGGGCCGGTGCCCGGATCAATGATCAATGATGCTCGCGGTGACGGTGGCGATGCTGGTGAACTGTGTGGACTCTGAGGGATGATGATGGGAGGGAGAAGTTTGGAGGAGTTGGTTGGAGGAGAGAGGAGCACAGCTTTGGGTTCTACAGCTTTGGCAGGAAGCAGGCAGGTGGCAGCAGTTGCTCAGGCGCCGAGATGGGGCAAGAGCAGCACCTGAAAGAAAGAGCAAGAGCAGCACAGCTTGGCTGAGCTTGTTGAGGGCGAAAGAGGCAGTGGCCACCCGCAAGCCAACAGCTCAGCGTTACAAGGCAGCCGTCAGCCAGCGCCCATGCTACCTTAGCCGTCTACGTAATGACAAGAATTAGCGGGTGGAAAGCGAAGCACGACGCAACGGTTCACACTTTTCCGATTTTTGTCTGTCCTTTCACAGTAACGAAAACCCATGGAAATCCGCCATGAAAAAGCTTAAAGTGCAATGGCGTACCTACCTAGCAGTCGATGAATTTGGCTGAGCAAAGGCGCCATACATTCACAGTTAGGTAGAGAATTAGAGTGAATGCAGCAAGAGGTGGGGGACGCCGCAAGGGAAAGGCATGGGAAGGAGCGCAGAGAAGCCCAAAAGAATGAAAGAACAAGCAGCAAGGGGCCTGCGGAAGCTTTCTAGAAGCGTCGCACGGGCCCTCGCCTGCCCAAAGCCAGCCCCCACCCCTCCCTCTTTCCCTTTCCCTGGCGCTGGCTTAGCTGGCTGGATCCCTACTGCCTGTTCTGTTCTGTTCTGCCCACCGAATTCATTCCGGCGCTGTTCCGCCAGCCCTTCTGTGGCCTTTCCTCTCCCATTCTTCTGCAGGGCTTACAGGGCGTCCTCGCAGCCTGGCGCAGCTCAGCTCCGGCGCCTTTTCTAGCGGACGTCTGCCGCCGTAGCGAATGAGGTGCAGGGCCGGTTTAGGCTCCAACTGGCGTTGAATTTGTTTCCTTCAGCATGTGACGGCTGCATGAAACGAAATGGCCCCCGTTTTCCATAGCAGTTGAGTAGGGGACTCTTTCTTCCCGCATCGTCAGGTGGACAAGCCAGACAGCCCCAATCTCAAGCACCAGACAAGAAGAAACAAAGACAAAGAAAGAAAAAGAAAAAAAGAAAAAAAAAAGAAAAAGAAAATTTACCCTCATACAGACCCTGTCCGGCACCGCAGAGGAAAAAAAAATTGTGACCACTACCTTAGTATCTATTACACGTAGCTCGCCGAAAAGGAAACCCCGTACTTGCATGGGCTTTCATCTCGTGGCAGTGGTGCTATTCGAAGTTGTCCTCATTTCGGGACGCCTCACGCGCCCTGCTCTAAGTGGCCGCGACCCTGGCCTCCCACGCCTCTGGATGCCCAACCCGGCAAGCCACATTTTGAATCTCGTTCTTCTCTTTCATTTGGTCCCTTTTTTCTTTGACGGCTGGAAGGCAAAGAGAGACTCGAAGAAAACAGCCCTGTCCAGTGGGACGTGGAACAACTGCCTCGGGCAGCGCGCAGTCTTACAAGCAACAACTGGTAAGCACTCAATCTTCTGGCCTGAGGGATTGCAGCGTGCATCGCCGTCCCCTCTCGCGCTCCTTGCGGTGCTCTACATCGAGCACGTGTCAGGCCAGGGAAATGGAAAAAGGAAGGAAAAGGCTGCATTCGTTGAGCAGAGCGTCCCAAAAGCGCAGGGGGTTCGTGATTCATACGGCATTGGTGGGCACGGGGGTGCTCCGTATTGCACCGCGCAAGAGATTAAGGTGTGTATAGAATCGGTTCCAGGGGTGGACAGATTAAGCTGGGCAATTACTCATTACAGCCAGACAATAATCACTACAGATACACGTAGCTGGCGTCGATAGATCTGTCACAAAAGAATTATTGTAGAAGAAAATGAAAGATTCTTTCATTCATTCATTCGCGGTATTACCGCTTGCGGCCTTGTCAGCCAGTTGGTGCCAGAACCACACACACCTTCTTTGTCCTCGTCCCCCTTCGGAGATGACCTTTAGACAGGAGACACTTTCTTGATTCGACCAAAGACAATCAAACGAACAGCCATGCCATGACTCTGACAAATCCTCTCTCTTTCTCTCTCTCTCTCTCACCATCATCCCATCTGTTTTAGAAGACCAAACGTTGCATTTCCTACCTACTTTAGGCAACCTAGGTAGTCTCTAAGTGTGAATCGTCCCCCTTTTTTCTGCCTGCAAAATCTGTAACACTCCCGTGGCTGTCTCAGAATCTCGGGCTCGCCAAGTACCGCCATCTGCCGGCCCTCCAACTGACGTCGTGCCCTCCTTTGGTGGCAAAATGGGAAGATTGTCTGCCTGCCATGGATAACAAATGTGTTTCCTCCAGCTTACGAGTAGTTGTACCTTGGTGGCCACCGAAACGGGTTTCAGGAACAAGTACGAGATATTACAGATTCATCCCCTTTTCAGCTCCTAGAGGATTCACGCCTCGGCAAAAAGAGCAGGCAGCTGATATCGCAAACGGCCGGAATTTTGCCTCTTTCTGCACCAGCTCAAATCGTCAGCCCTTTACGAGACGTGCTTACGAGTACCTTTCCATGAATGCACAGTAGGTATACACTGCTGCAGCTTGAGTCAGAGCCTCGCACGCCTTATAACTTCCATAGATGGGCAAAGAAGCTATATATAGAGCTATTCTCATGCGAGCTTCTATTTCTTGCATAAACGCCGTCTCCGGCTCGGCACCTGTCAATTAGCAGCATCATGGGTAAGACGCTGACTCCGACAGCCCAACAGAAACGCGGCTGCCCTGCCAATAGATTCTCCCCACGTAAGATTGAGCGGCCTGCTCCCTCTGCGGCGCATCAGAATCCGTCCGTAGGTATGTATAAACATTATGGTCCGGCTTTGCGGTCCAATCTTGCCCTTTGCCCCCCTTCAACTAGGGTATCTTCCCATATTGAAAACACAATTCGTAGAGCTGAGCAAATCAAACACCATGTATCCCTCCCCCATTAGCCTTGAAAAGAAGAACGCTGTGGTGAATATAGTTGCAGCCCGGCAACGCCGTTTGAAACCCCCACCGTGTGATAAGATGGTACAGAGCAATAAGGAGAGAAGGAAAGAGAAAGAAACAAGAGAGTAATGAGAAGAAGAAAGAAAAAAAAAAAAAGGATTATATCCAGGCTTGCTAATGTTAGCCAAAGCCTCGTGCCAGAGCATCCCATCTACCGGTACTTGTAGCACTAGCAAGGCTGAACTCTGCTTCCCAATTGCGATCCCATCCACTCTATTCATGTGTGGATGTCCTGTCAAGTGCTTGGCCTCCCATCGGAATAGGTGCCCTGTCAGCCACTTAATCTATCCAAAGCCGCTTACCTGGAGAAGGCCACCCTTCCTCTATCGCGTTTGGGAGGTGCCTCTAGTGCTCGGAATTGCCGCCAAGGTCTCCTGCTCAGAACGGCAGCAAATAAGTGGCCAAACTGCTGCTTTGTGTCGCCCCCTTTTCGTCTTCTGTTTTCTTTTCGATTTCATGATCCAACGGCCAGGCAAGAGTCCAAGACGCCATCCAGCATATCCATGTCGGTGGTTTCTGCTCCTTCCCACCACGTCTCGTTGTCGACATCCATTGCATCAGGGTCTTTGCCATTAGCTAGCTCTACCTCACCGTTTGTCAAGATTTCCTCGACTCTCGGTTCTGGCGGTTCACCATTGACCCATGTGTAGTCTGTCCAGTTCTCGAGCTCGCCCTCTCGGTACCCGTACAAGATCTGGGCTATGACAATAGGGAATTGTGAAATTCCGGAATCCGCCATTTCCAAGGCGAGTCGCATATCTGCTATGCCCAGAGGACCTCTCTCGCTGGCAGCCTTGGACTCAATGGGCAACAGCCCTGCCTTATCTCGGGTGATTTCACCTCTCTGAGCCGCATCTT